TTGGCCTGAGCAACCTGGCAGTATTCGACCGACTTGCAAATCGTGGAGCGTTTTTCATTTTATAAAGATTAGTGTACCACGATTTGTTTGGCACACAGTCTTGCACCAGACGTGTGTGAAATATATATTGCTTCCCAGTTTGCTGCCAATTCCACCTTACCCCATTTTTCTACACCTATTTTTCACTGGCAATCCTTTTATACCTCATATTAGCACTAGGAAAATCCGCCAAACATTGCGCTCTCTAAACGCAAACAAACCACCCCGTCCGGAAGGTATTCCACCCATCGTCCTCAAAATATGTGCTCCCGAGCTGGCTCCTGTTTTACGTCGTCTTTTCAGTCTTTTCCTCCAACTTTCTTCCTTTCCAACCCCCTGAANCCCATTCCCAAACGCGGCGACCTTTCTAACCCCAAAAATTACCGACCCATTTCCCTCACATCTGTTCATTCGAAACTATTTGAAACTATCATTTGTGACCAGCTACACACGTTCCTTGAACGCGAAGGCCTACTGAGCGACCGCCAGTATGGCTTTCGACCGCGTCGTTCCACCGATGACCTTCTGTCTTACAATCCTGGTCAGCTCCACTCGATAACCACGGAGAAACACACCTGGTCTCGCTTGGCATCTCAAAGGCCATCGACCGAGTTTGGCACGAAGGTCTACTGGCGAAACTACCCATGTTTGGGTTCCCTCCAGCGCTCGTAGCGTGGATATCAAGTTTCCTCAGTAAGCGAACTATCTCCGTCCGAGTTGATGGGGTTCTACCTCAGCCATTCCCTGTGAAGGCTGGTGTTCTCCAAGGTACCGTACTTGCGCCTACCCTCTTCCTTCTATTTATCAATGATCTCCTTTCCAAAACTGTCAACTCGATTCATTCTTTTACTGATGACGCCACCCTCCACTGCTCGCCATGCCCAAACCAACATCGATGGGAACCGTAGTGCAGTTAATTTGTTACTGGACTCCGATCTCGAGCACATCTCCTCCTGGGGAATTGCAAACCACGTTTCGTTCAATAGTTCTCAAACCTCTCTCATTTCAATTTCTTTAAAACACCATTCATTCTGTCCTCGTTTATCTTTTGAGTCCACCTAACTGCGTTCCGCAGACTCTGTTTCCCTTCTTGGATTACCCACAACTTCTTCTTTATGCTGGTCGCCTTTTATGACCAAACTTGCTTCTCGTGCTGCGCTCAAGGTTGGATTTCTTTTTCGCGCCAGACAGTTTTTCATCCCAGCTCATCTTCTTCTATTGTACAAAGCTCAAATCCGCCCTGCTCTTGAATCCTGTAGTGACGTATAGGGTGAGGCTTATCACGTTTCTGTTTCCAGGTGTCGTACCTCTCTACTCAAATCTCCTTTTTTCCCCAAACTTACAATCTTACACTTTTTAAACGCAGAATCAATAAACTGGATCTTACGTGAATGTTACCCTCCTCTCTCCTTTACAGTATGCTATTTGTCCATGGGGATTTCCCCGTTTACTGTAATTTACATTGTGTAATAAAAAAACTTGAATGAGGTCATTCTAGACACATGTTTACAGTTAAGAGTAGGTGAAATGAGCGGGAAAGACTGAAGATACAATCTACGCATTTAGATGTATTAAGAATGGGACCAGATTGTTTGGAGCAACTGTTGAAGGTGAGATAGATTTTCAGAGGAAAAATCAAATTCCGAATGAGATTAAATTGTCTGACACTAAACGGGGTCGTTAGCACACATTTGGATATGTGCAGGAGTTGGGACCGAGAGATCACTAATGAAAGCTGAAAAGAGATATGAAGATGGAACAACAACTAGAAGCACATCAGAACTATTAACAAGAAGTTTTCGTGTATTCCTTCTTAATTCGGTGCACTGAACCTTCCCTGTGTGAAATAGTCAGAAAGCTATGATAGTAGCAATCTTGGAGTGCCAGAAGACTTAAATTTGTATTTGGATGTTCGAGAAACGGAATCAAACGCGGACGAATAATTAGGAAAGGCATAATGGACAGAGGGCCGAACCGTTCAGTGATTTGCCGGTAAAATGGATTAGAGTGAACATAGCGTCCAGTTTATATTTGTTGGGTTTAGAATTAAACTGGAGGGGGTCTTTGGGGGAGAGGAGTGTTGAGGAAATTGACTACAGGCAACTCACAATGACCTTTTCGATCAACTTTAGTGGGGGCTGAGAATACAGATGCCGCTGGATGAAAATTAACTTAGATGACATTGTACCTGATTCGAACGTGTGAATGTTTGATGAGCAATGTGAGAGTATATCTTTGGTTTACCAAGAAGAGTACAACAGTCACTGGTAGCAACGGGGTCGTTAGTTTCAAAGAAAATAAGTTGGGATGGCTTGTGATCAATCTGGCCAGCACAGAACTACCTCTGGTAGGAGAATGAGAGGTCAGATAGACCAAGCAGAAGCAGAGAGAAGATGCTTTCGTGAGTGAAATCACCAACGTGTAAGTGAAAATTTTCATCCAATAATGGAAGTAGAAACGAAATATAGGAATCAAAGAAAGCAGAGACTTGCGGCTGAGAAAGTGAAGGAGATATGTACGCATTAGAGATGATCCTACTTTTGTAATGGGAAAATTTGGGATGACAACGAACGGATACACAGTCAATGCTTTTTCAGAACAGTTATATAGCACTTCTGTCCACATACAACATATGTATTGAAATTAATGCGTGTGTTCAGAATAGAGGTTAAATCCGAGATCTTCGCCAATAGCAAGCAAACGTTGGTGATGACCAATGATGGCACAGTCAACCTGATAGGAAGGGTGTAAGTAAGTACAGTCTGCTGTCCAACCCGTTTGCGGTTTTTTGATCCAAGCACATTTATGAGTCTTACCAA